CTCTCTCTCTCTCTCTCTCTCTCTCTCTCTCTCTCTCCAGTACATCCATGAGTAAAGACAATCCCACAAAGCTTACCCAGACACCTTCGCACACATTGATGAATTCACACAGTCATAAATTCTTACAGAACAGAACAGCATGAAAAAAAAAACACGATACTGAGAGAACATAATAGATACAGAGAGAACATACTATTTGTATTGGGAATGTCGGAATTTACAGATTGAAGCTGGACTGAAACAAATTCGTTTTAAGTGCTGATTTATATTTTGATAAAGTGGTAGACTCCCGTAGATGAGCTGGTAAAGCGTTCCACAGGGAGAGGGCGGGGTGTGAAAAAGCTCTCCCTCCGAGTCTCTGACTTTTGCTTTGGACGGGTGTTAAAAGTCTTTTAGTCGCCGATCTTAAAGGCCGAGATGGTATATATTCGATGAGCATGTCACAAAGATATAATGGTTCAATGTTGTTGACGAACTCAAAACAAAGAACAATTATTTTGTACTGAATTCGAGCTTTCACCGGAACCAATGTGGTTGAATTAGCATTGGTGTTATATGCTCTTTGAGATATTTCTTTAAAATTATGCGAGCAGCTTGGTTCTGGAGTCGCTGTAACTTTTTTAACGTTTCAGTGGGAAGGTTTCCAAACAAAGAATTGCAGTAGTCTAGACGTGAAAGTACAAAAGAAGAAATAAGGATATTGATGGAATCAACACTAAGATATGTTTACATTTGTCCTATTCTGTGTAGTTCTAAATAAATTACTTTACATAGATGGTTTCTACGATGAGGCATAGAGAGTGTGCAGTCAAGATAAAAGCCTAGATTTTTCGCTTTATCTGTGAAAAAAATGTTATCATTCCCAATACATATATGGTCAAAATTGCAAAGCAATATCCTTGGCATTGCAAAACAGAACTTCGGTCTTATCATCATTCAGTTTAAGTTTGTTTGATATCATCAAGTTTTTTACCTCCACAATACATTTTTCCATGCTAGTAACTTGACAATTAAAATTTATTGGTAAAACAAACTTGTACAGCTGAGTGTCGTCCACGTACATGTGGTAGCTAACGTCGTGCCTCCTAATTATTGAACCTGAGGGCTTTGTATATAGTGTGTATAAGAGTGGTCCGGTCACAATCAAACCCCTCAGGAAAAAAGAAGAAAAGGCTCTTGTAAACATTGTTGGTGAGCACACACTCTGTCACGGGAGCCGAGAATATACGTGTTTTTAGTTTGAGCTGAGAAGAAATGGTATGGAAATAACTTAACGTTAGCTGAAAGACAAATAAACTTCGATGGCGGCTGTACAGCAGAGTGATTTTTCGATGGGGGCTGTGCTGAGTGATTTTTCCAAGGGAACTGTAACCGTTGGATGGATTCGGAAATCTAATTGTATCGATATCGTCAAAAAGTAGCGGCTCTGATAGTTACCCTATACAGTATGTCCCAGTCAAACAATATTTGGCATAAGTGAAAAATAAGTACATTAAAACACAAGCTGAAAAGACATCCAACTGTCAGGCACATAACTTAAAGGTAGCGTTAATTGCGACAGAGTGATGCTGTGACAACTAATTCTGCGTTAATTGCAACAGAGTGAGCCTGTGACCAAAAAAAAGAAGTTAAAAAGGAAAAAGAAAAACAAACCCACACACATGCGCTCACACACAAACATACAAACACATATACCCATGCACACACACTCACACACAGACACACTCATACACATACAACCACACCGCACACTCTTGTGGCCTTATACACGCTCGCACGTGCGCGCGCGCACACACACACACACACACACACACACACACTCACACACTCATACACAGACCAAACTAACAAACAAAGACAGTCACAGCTCTTTTCTTGTTGCTGTTGTATGCTGCTGATGTTTTGTTGTAATATTTGTTGCCTCAATATTTGGGCTGTCTATAATGTGTACAGATAAAGTCAACTCTACTGTACAGAAAGTCTTTGTGGATGTTTGCCACACACTTTAAGTTATCCTTCTTAAAGGCAACACAATTTTTAACTTTAAATTTAGCAAAAGCTTTGTCAAAATCGTCGTAAGATTTGAATACCAGTTCTAGAAAGCCTTGATTGTAAGGCAGAGATTAGACTAAGACCTCCACGCTGGGAAGCGAAGCAGGAAAGGTAGATCTAGACGATGTGAGATTCTAGAGCGCAACCTTCAACGTAAAAGGGCCCCGTGTTCACTCTGTCTCAATTAACGCCGCATTAGTTGTCCCAGCGTGTCTCTGTCTCAATTAACGCCGCATTAGTTGTCACAGCGTGTCTCTGTCTCAATTAACGCCGCATTAGTTGTCCCACGTGTCTCTGTCTCAATTAACGCCGCATTAGTTGTCCCAGCGTGTCTCTGTCTCAATTAACGCCGCATTAGTTGTCCCAGCGTGTCTCTGTCTCAATTAACGCCGCATTAGTTGTCACAGCGTGTCTCTGTCTCAATTAACGCCGCATTAGTTGTCCCACGTGTCTCTGTCTCAATTAACGCCGCATTAGTTGTCCCAGCGTGTCTCTGTCTCAATTAACGCCGCATTAGTCGTCACAGCGTGACTCTGTCTCAATTAACGCCGCATTAGTCGTCACAGCGTGTCTCTGTCTCAATTAACGCCGCATTAGTTGTCACAGCGTGACTCTGTCACAATTAACACTACCGTCTTAAATGCCACCGAGGGGCAGGGGAGTTTTGTGCCCGGCGGCCTTGCCTGCTCAGCCGTCGCACCGTGTGGCTTACGTTGGGGAATTTTTGTTACGTATCCATGTGCATGTAGTTGTAATGCCCGGCGGTCCATCTTGCGCAACCCCATTGTTTGTTTTGTGTCCTTTTCTTTTAATGTAATCACTTTTTCATAGTGGATCATGATCAAAAGTGGCAGTTTTGTTGGAAAGCCCACGTTCTTTACTCTTAAAGTAAAAAATCAACAAACAGCAAAAGTTAAAATACCATGCTCTTCAAACATCGGAAAGTGCATGCCTATATATTGTGGGCGGTTTTTTTTTTTAAAGCCTTTTACGAAAATAAGTTTCTTCTTCATAAATTTTTAGTCAAACAAATTTCTTTTGAATGAAATATAACTGCTCCAGATTACAAAATGTTAGTACAAATTAAATCATTAAAACACAAAAAACCCTCCTATTTCAAACAGTGGCCGTTGGGCATATAACTTGTCAACGCCACAGAGGCGCATAGGAGTTGTGTGCACGGCGATCCTGCTTTATTAGCCCTTGCACCGTGTCGCTTATACCGGGTGCCCATTGCGGTTGAGATCGGATGAGATCGGGTTGGGTCCTTCACACGGCTTGTCGCCTGAAAATAGATGCGTATTCCAGGCGGTCAAAATTGTGCGCAACCGTATCGTCTGTGTCGTGTCCTTTTCTTCTCTTCTTTTTTTTATAGTGGATCTAGATCAAATGTCGTAGTTGCGTTGTAAAGTCTACAACGGTGTCCATGTCGAAGGGACACGTTAAGTACTAATACGGCTGTTCATTCTTAAGGCAGAGAAAATAAATAGCAAGCAGCAAAATTAATATACCATACCCTATCAAACATCGGAAGGCCTATGCCCATATAGTGTGTGTATGTGTGTGTGCCTGTGTGTGTGAATGTTTTTCAAAGTAAAAAGTATAATTAAGCCATTTCCGTTTTCGAGAATAAATGTCTTCTTCGTGAATTTTTATTCAAACAGATTCCTTTTGAATGAATTATTAGTCTACTGTTACGTTGTGCTAGATATTCAGAAAAAAGCAGTAACATTTTTTAAGGAGGTTATCCGGTGCTTGTACTTTATTCTCTCTCTCTCTCTCTCTCTCTCTCTCTCTCTCTCTCTCTCTCTCTCTCTGATGTGCAGGTATGTCAATTTCTGAGACGTACCATAATTTTTATCTCTACCGTTTGCTGGAAGTTTCAGCCTATCACCGCATGAGCCAATAGGAAACTCACTGTAAACAGTGTGCACATTTTTAAACAAGAGTTATGGCAGATTTTGAACAAGAGTTTTATTAACATGATTTTTATCGAATCTGATTTATTATGTAACCTTTTAACTCAAATATTCACCATATACGAAATCCTGGCCTTCTTTAGCGAGGGTTATCATGTCTTGCTCAAAGACATCTCTCAGTGACCACCCACATAAGCCTAGTGTCATTGAAATTTTCTTTATATTATTCAGGTGTTACAGTCCACACGTGGTTTAACATTTCTTGAGTACATGTCTGAGGTTCTACAAGATGTATCTATTATGTTGCATGTGTCTGGTCGTGCCAGCTGACAGCCAATTGCGTCTACTTCTAACTTGCTGTTTAAAAGAGGTGTTTGTAATAATAAGCGCACTGACTTTGTAAAAGTTTGCAAGCTTATCACATCTGTCATTTCTTTTTCTCATGCCAGTTGTATGCCACATTCATTATCTTCTTCTTCTCCCATTAAAAAAAACAACTATGATTAAGGTCTCCCATGATAATTCAAGCATTTCTTTTGAACATTTTGTATTTTTCTGTTTCCAAGTCAGTCAAAAAATGTATTTCGCTCTCTGTGCTTCTTGTGGATGGGGCATAGTGTTGCTGGAACTGCAACAATGTGAATGGAGATTTATATGGTACTCTAGTAAATAGGGTATACATATTTCCACGATTTGAGTACCCATAGTTTAAAATCTAAAAGTGTTAAGTTTTTCGAGAAAAAAAATATATAAAAATAAATCAAACAAACCAAAACACTATCTATATCTGTGATTATAATATTTTTGGTAAAATGATTTTGATATATAATATTATTGCAGTGTAAACAATTATTTTGAAACGAGGGATTCCACTGCTTTTTGCACCCAAGACTTGTTCAACTTGCACCAATAGCAAAGCAGTCAGATTCTCTTGACATGGACCAACTTCACCGCCTCCCCCCCCACCCCCGCCCCTCTCCCCCACACGTAGTTCCCTGTCAAGCTGTTGAAAAAGGGAATAATATTGTTCTAAAAGTTATCACCTTCGAGTGGAAAGATTTAGAATTGCCCTTTTAAAGCTATCACATTGTTTTTCTAAAAAGAGATTCAGTGTCTCCCTGCCTCGCTGCACTGTTGATATTTCAATATTTTCATAACCTGGACCTTTTAAATTGTGGTCAAGTGTAAGTGTTCAGTGTACATAAAGAATATCAACTACAATTTTCCGTTCCTTTGTGTCCATAAGCCATGACTCGTGCCTTAAACAAGCTGTTCATTGTGATGTCATAAAACTTAATTTCTTCTTTGTGCCCGTAATCCCACCACGTGACTACTACTGTAGGCTGACACCTGGTCAGCGTCTATGAAGATTACGTCACAGGCGTAATGGATGACTGGACATCCAGACGCTACCGCCTTGAGGCTACCGTCGGTTGTGTAATCTGGCGACGAGCCATGGGAAGTACTTGAATTTCTGGAAAGTTCGACATTTTAACAAAAGAAGATTGACAGCTGAGCTTGGCCCTTTAACCAATCAGAACGTTGGAACGATTCCCGCCCAAAAAAAATGACGCTTCGTTTGTCATCGTATAAAAGCTCTGACAAAACGTTTGTCTGTACCATTTCTTTACCCTCGTTGTCGAGTGTAGAGTGCTTTGTATTGCTGTTTTATTGAATCCACGTTGTCATCACTATATTCAAAAAGTACGACGGCTTTTACTGCGATCTTCAGAGTTCCCATCTAGTTCTGGTGATTTTTCTCAGGCATTCAATCAGTTTTTGGTTACATCCGAGTATTTCTTCATTTCACCATGAGTTCTGTGGAGAAGATTCGTGTCATCAAGCTGCATAAGGGGGGAGATGTCTTCCACTACCACCGCATCCATTACTTGTCCGTCTTGCACCAAGGACAACGCAGCAAGATTCTCTTGGCGAGGAGCAACAAAATCCCAGACAGGAAATTCGCTATCAAGCAGATGCCTCTTGTCTCTGATGAGGATAGAGATCGCTTCACACGCGAGATGTATCTGATGAAACTGGCTTCTGACATATGTGGAGTTGTGACTTTGTTGTCTCATCCCGTCTTCTGTGGTCCCACCGGCTATCTGATCATGCCGTTCTGCGAGAAGAGAGACCTGCTCTCGCAGACAGGGAAACTGAGCCACGACAGCTGGATGAAAGTGTTTGTCAGGGTGAGTGCATTCATATTGTCATATTATACATGTAACTTCAAAGTATATTGTTTCTATATCCTCAGTCTTGTTGATTCACTATTACATTTTAGGGGAGGATCGACCCTTGATTTTGCAGATTTTGGGTCAGGCTATGCAAATTTTATGTTGGCTGATTTTAGAAGATCAACCAGTTTTTTGTCTACAAATAGTATGGATACAATTGAGAAAGTCTTTATTCTCCTGATAAATTGCCTTTGAAAACATGAGGATGGATTAATTTAGTGAATTTTCACAATAATTGTCGTTCTTCGCAAAATGTTTTTTTGTTGTTGTTGGCAGTTGTTTTTTTCCTTACTCTTTCCTTAGTTTTCCTCCTTTTGACATGAAACTTTCAGGAAACAGATGACAAGGCTGCCATCAATGTAACAGAGAGATATTTGCGAAAAAAAAGTAACACTTTTCCATTGGCAAGTGATTTATGCAACCTAAATTTAGAAAACGGTTTTTTATGCTTTGGGGAAAAAAAAATTTCTCTTTTGCACTTATTAAAAAAACTCGCTATTACGCTGATAGGGTCTAGTTCAGGTGTACTATCACAAAACTTGGTCAATTTTGGTCAATAAATAAGAAAGCCTTAAGGGTTTGAAATTGTTTATTTTCAAGATGGTGGCCGTTTCCATAGCAACCGCTGTAGCTATGCCAAAATAAACTTGTTTATCAAGAGATTTTACTATGTCTAACTTATATGTGTACTTAGATTTGATCTCGGGCAACAAACATAGAAAATGGTCTTTAAGGGTAGCTCCTCCCGTGAAGACTTTGCAGAAACGTGAAAGTGACATTAATTAATACCTAATGAGTCTCAAATTGTATCAATTTATTTATATTTCTGCCTGTACACTCAAACACTCACACGTCTTTCATCTTAATAATGACAAACATCAGGACAGTACACGCCTGATAGGCAACATGTACTGCTTTATTATTTTACAAATGACATCAGTCGAAAAAAAAAAGTTTTATAACAGAGAAATACTAGCAATAAGTGTTTTAGAAAGTTTGGATACAGTCCAAATAGGCAAGATTACTCTTCTTCCATATCTTTCTTTTCATATCTCTCTCTCTCTCTCTCTCTCTTTCTCTCTCTCTCTCTCTCTATCTCTCTCTCGCCCTCTCTCTCTCCCTCTCTCTCTCTCTTTCTCTCTCCCGCTCTCTCTCTCTCTCTCTCTCTCTCTCTCTCTCTCTCTCTCTCTCTCTCTCTCTCTCTCTCTCTCTCTCCTTCTTTAATTTCTCTCTCTCTCTTTCTTGGTCTTATTTTCTGACAATTTGGGATGAAGAGCTTTTTCTTTCTATGCCTCTAACATTAGGATTTCTCTCCTAAATGAATTGATGCCACTAGATATATTTTTAAAGATCTAATGACACATTTGTTCAGTTTTCAGTACTATCCTCTGTCTGTAAATGTTGAAAGCGATAAAGTGTGTGTGTGTGTGTGTGACAGGGAGTTTTGTGAGTTTAAGATATGCGTATGGGTGTGTTTTTAATGGTCTCACAGTGTCCAGTTTCTTTCTTTTAATTTGGTGGTGAAATGATAATTCTGCGCTGTACAGCGTATAGTCTTCTCTGGATTAGGCGGTACATAAAACATTCATTATACTATGTATTACTATAAGTCTCTCTCTCTCTCTCTCTCTCTCTCTCTCTCTCTCTCTCTCTCTCTCTCTCTCTCTCTCTCTCTCTCTCTCTCTCCCTCTCCCTCCCTCTCTCTCTCTCTCACACACACACACACGCACACACACACAAACACACACACATACACTACACACACAAGCACATACACACTCACACCCATCTCTCTCTCTCTCTCTCTTCTCTCCTCTTTCTCTCTCTCTCACTCTCTCTCTCTCTCTCTCTTTCTCTCTCTCTCTCTCTGCTGCTCTCTAACCTGCTCAGCCTTGCTTTACTTTTAGTTTCAGTAGAGGTTTTACGGCGCTCGCAACTGCATAAGGTCATATGAGCGCCAGAAGGGGTCCTTTTTTTTTCCTGGCCCCCCCCCCCCCCCCCCCCGAGATAAAAGGATTGTTAGCAAGTAGTTGTCCTTCTCGTAACTCATATATCTCTCCCTCTCTCTCTCTCCCTCCCTCTCTCTCTCCCTCTTTCTATCTCTCTTTCTGTCTCTCTCTCTCTTTCTGTCTCTCTCTCTTTCTGTCTCTCTCTCTTTATGTCTCTCTCTCTCTACCTCTTGAGACCATAAAGCTTTGAAGTTTCTAGTTTTAGCAACGTGCTCAATCTCATCAAAAATATTAATATTTTTTAAATTCAATTTAGAAGTTAGAGATGTCCCATGTCGATTTTAAAAAAACAAACACCAAAAGGCATTTTTGTAGGAGTCATATTTGTCAAGGTCTATATGTCCTTGTCTACTTACATTTATTGGTCTTTTTATCTTTTTCAATCAGCAGTAACTTCTTGTCTCTTACTGAATTCCCCAGTGTTAGATAAGAATATTCATTAAAAAATGAAAATCAAACACTAACAAAATCTCCCCTTTCCTTTGCCTCCCCTAGATGGCGGTGTCTCTCCGAAGCCTGCACAAGAAGAGGATTTATCATCAAGACTTGAGGCCACAGAACATCATCCTCACTACCTCTGACGTCGCCTTCATCTCTGACTTTGGCGCTGCGTATCTACTCTCTGAGGGATGTGACAAGGTGGACACGTGGACAGCTGCACCTGGTTTCCGGGGACCTGAGGCGGACCAGAAGGGTGGTCAGTTCTGTCCATTCCAACTGGACACCTACAGCCTGGCTGTCAGCATGTGGCAGGTACTATCTGGTCTGTGTCCAGTCAAGAACAAGCCTTTGGATCACCTAGACAACATCCCCCCGCAGTACGCTGCCTTGTTGAGGAACCTTCTTCTTCCGGACCCCGACAGGAGATGGACCCTGGACAAGTTCCTCACTGAGGCCCTGGAGCTGCACCCGGACCTGTCCTGTCTTCTCTAGGACGTTTGGATCCCGTTCTAAAGATAGTTAAAAGACAGTGTTTATATTTGTACGTCTTGACTTCTCACTGTTAAGCTTTCTAGTTTGAAGCTTTCTACAACGCCTTTGATAAACTGATGTCAATGTCGTAATATTGTTCTGAATTAGAGCAGGCCCAAGAAAAAGAGAGAGAGAAAGCAAGAATGGGAGAGACAGAGAGAATAAGAGATAAAGGCACTGATTACAAAGTAGTTAAGACTAAGAGTGAAAGTTAGTGAGAGACAGTTTGTTTGTGTGTGTGTGTGTGTGTGTGTGTGTGTGTGTATGTGTGTGTGTGTTAGAGAGAGAGAGAGAGAGAGAGAGAGAGAGAGAGAGAGAGGGGAGGAGAGAAAGAGAACAAATATAATATAGTAGTAAGTCGTGGTTAGTCTTTCTTTATATAGGACTATGTTCGAGATCTTGATGTGATGTTTATGTACCCAATAAAGAAAAACAAATCCAAAAGACGTCATTTTCAGATTCACTTAATCTTTCCCTTCCTTGTCTGCTAATTAAATTAATCCCCCCCCCCTTTCTTTTAGCCTATCCAATCTTTGTTTTATTGTCACATCATTTCAGATAACTCTATCTATCTATCTAGCTAGCTAGCTATTTAGCTATCTATCTATTTATCCATCCATCCATCCATCCATCCATCCATCCATCCATCCATCCATCCATCCATCTATTTTTTTAGTTGTTTTTTTCCTGATATGCTTGTTTGTTTATCTCTCCTTTTGGTATTTTTACAACGACGAGCACTACATGTACAAAAAATGACAGAAAAACCAATCAGTTATAGTGTATCATTGCATTATCTCATAATCTCTCTTCAACTCATTAAAAATAAGAATCTATTTTTAAAAAGATGTTTCTAGAACTCATTTCATACCCTTCTTGGTTGTTCTTTATGTCAGAATTTAACTTTCAACGGTACGAAAAATCTTATATTCAACCAACAAACTAAATATTTTCTTGTTTAGTAAATACGAAATGGAGAGATCGATAAACTCAAAATAATCAGGTGATGATATCATTCTTAATGGGTTAAAAACCGGGCTATCAGGAAAAAAGAAAAAATTTACTCTACACTACAAAAACCTGACCGCCCTCGAAATTAAATGCACCAGCAGCTTAAGTTAATGCACTTTTTTCATAGACACACACAAACACCACAGACACACAGACACACACACACACACACTCTCTCTCTCTCTCTCTCTCTCTCTCTCTCTCTCTCTCTCTCTCTCTCTCTCTCTCACTCACTTCGGTTTAGCTAGTCAAATCTACCACGGAATAGCCTTAAAAGTAACATTAACAACAACAATAACTTGAACAGCAACAGCAACAACATCAACAACTACAACAACAACAGCAACAACAACAACAATAACAAAACAGCAATAGCAAGAACAACAACAACAACTGGAACAACAACAATAGTAACAGATAATAATAGATAGCATTTATTGTATAGCGCAAATCACCGCTCAACAGCTAGCTCTATGCGCTTCACAATCTACACTATTACCCCAGCAGACCTGAGAGCATTCTGAAATAACCTCAACTTCCTGGGAAGCATACAGTGCAAGTATCCATATATAGGCGCTGAAACTCTAACATACTGACAAGATATTTCGCTGTATATGGCCGGGTACCCATTCCCACCTTGGTGAAGTGAGGGAAATGTGTGTAAAGTGCTTTTCCCAAGGACACAACTTCGGGCCCGCGGCTCGAATCCCCGATCCCACATCCTCACGGTTACGAGTCCGGTAGCCTAACCACTAGGCCACCGACGCCACACAACAACAACA